AGCATAGAACATAAAATCATAGGCTGGAAGGGACCTTGGAGATCTTCTGATCCAATCCTTTGCTCAAGGCAGAAGACCTAATACCATCCCAGTCAAAGGGTTGCCCAATCTATTTTTGCAAATTCCCAGCGATGGAGCACCTACAATTCCAGGAAGCAAGCTATTCTATCGATTACTTATCCTCACTGTCAGGAAATTTCTCCTTACTTCTAAATGAAATGTCATTAATAACCTTTCACCCATTACTTCTTGTCCTGCCCTCTGATACTTTGGAGAATAAATCAATCCTTTCTTTGTGACAGTCCCTCGGAGTACTGGAATACAGTTACCATGTCCCCCCCTAATCCTTCTCTTTGATAGGCTAGACATACTTAACTCCCTGACATGTTCATCATAATTTAGCATCCAGACCCTTTAGCGTATTTGTGGCTCTTCTCTGCACACTTTCTAGGTCTCAGCATCTTTTTTATATTGGGTGACCAGAACTATATATAGTATTTCAAGTGTGGCCTCACTAGTGTGGTATAAAGTGGTATCATCACTTCTCTTGATCTTGATGCTATCCCTCTGTTGATGTAGCCTAGGACAGGGCTTTTCAACCAGTGGTATGGATACCACCTGTGGTACATTGGCACCTGGCAGGTGGTACGCAACCATCCTAGAAAAGGATGGCGGGGAATGAGCTGAACCAGTGGCAGCACCGCAGAAGCCTGAGCGAGAGATGGCTGGAGCTGCAGGGCTGTCAGGGCTCAGCGGAAGCACCAGGATTAATGCCAGGCTCCAGCTGGAGCTCAGCGCTGATCCTTGTGCTTCTGCTGAGCCCTGAAGAAGCACCAATCAGCTGGAATGTTGCAGCATCTCCAGGGTCTCGTGATTTACATTCAGATGCTTGGCAACTGATTCATATTTATGATGGTCACAGTGTCCCGGGGTCATGTGAATTGACCAAAACCTGCTGCAACCACCCAGCAGATGGGGGGAATAAAAACCAAACACCCCCACCCCACCCCCGCTGCCAATTCTCAACAGAAATGCTCACAACAATGAAAACCTCGGACAGGAGGAGAGCACCGCCAGGCGGGCAGGCAGGCGTCTTGCTTGGCTGTGGCTTGGGGGGGGGCACTTTTTTCAGTGCCATTGTAACTTTGAACAGTCACTAAGCGAACTGTTGTAAGTCGAGGACTACCTGTACTTTATCACTTTTTTCCTTTTTTTTTTTTTTGGTCATCAAGTTTTTGACACCTTGCTAGGCGACTGGTGGTATTCGGATGTTGCCATATCCTAAAAGTGGTACAATGGATGAAAAGGTTGAAAAGCCCTGGCCTAGGATGCATTGGCTTTTTTGGCAGCTGCAGCACATTGCTGGCTTAGGTGGTACTCCAGTAGGATCATTTAGATCTTTCTCACAGTTTCTACTGTTGAGCCAGGTACTGCCTATTCTGTACCTATGCATTTGGTTTTTCCTGCCTATGTGCAGGATCTTACTTTTCTCACTACCGAACTGCATCTTGTTGGATAGAGCACAAAGCTCAAGTCTGTTAAGATCCACCTGAATCTTGAGTTTATCTTGCAAAGTATTAGGAAGTCATCCCAGCTTGGTGTCATATAGATTACGCTGGGCCCTTTCAGGAGCAATTCTTCCTGGTTGTTGTTGATAGCCATTCCAAATAGCTAGAGGTTGTTCCTGTGTCCTCCACTACTACTGCCAAGACTATCCAGGTGTTGAGAGGAATTTTTGCAGCTCATGGCCTTCCAGATGTTCTGGTTTCAGATAACGGTCCTCAATTTACCTCTCCTGAGCTCCAGGCTTTTCTGCAGGCCAACCTGATATGCCATGCAACTTCTGCTCCTTTCCACCCATCCACCAACGGAATGGCTGAGCATATGGTACGCATTACCAAGGATGCCCTCAAGAAACTGACTTATGGTAACTGGCATCACAGGTTAGCAGACTTTCTTCTTGCACATCGCACCACACCTTGCACATCCACTGGAAATAGCCCAGCTGAACTATGGGCCCGGTCATCTCTGGGTATCAGCTGTGGTCTGCAAGGTCTCGGGGCCTTTGTCCTATGAAGTGTCCTTGGAAGACGGCTGTGTTCTTTGGCAGCACATAGATCAGCTGCGTGCGAGGCTGGAGTTTCACCCTTCCACTCCTGGCTCTGCTCTGGGGGGGAGGGGAGGGTTATAGAGTGCATTCTGAGGATCCTAAGGTCAGCAGCTGTCACTGGCCACTGAGGAGGCCACTGGTGTCCCATCTCAAGTTTCCGCAAGTGCTCCGAACAGGAAGTCATGGGGCAGGGGGTCTGCCCACACACCCATATGTACTCCAGCCAAGGACTCACACCGGGGGTATCCGCATTATTCATACACAACCAATAATACTCCAGACAGGGAGACTGACCGAGGGTATCCACACAACTCACACCCTACAAGAGAACTGGCAACACAGCATGGGGGATGGCCAAATTCTGCAGTTGCTCCCAGAAGGAAGTCTGCTGGAATGGGGGCTAACAGAGAGGCAACTCCTGATTCTGGCACCTCAGGTATGACCTTGGGGTCCACGGGGTATTGGGGCCATGTAGACACCCCTGACTCTCCACTTGCTGACCTTGGGTTCCAGGGACAGTGCTCCCAAGGAAGGTCCATTGTGGATCCAGGGAATACCACCCCTCCAAGGGATGATGGATTGAGCTCAGAGAGCTCAGCCAGCCAGCAGATGAACAGGTCGACCAGGTACATGGGGCAGCAAAGTCCTGACCTACTGAGCCTGGCAGGCGAGCAGGTAGGTCAGGCAACAACACCAGGGTCTCCTGAGGCAGGTGGGCAGCAACATCTTGACTCACCCAGTCTGGTAGAAAATGGAAGAGACCAAGCAAACTCTCCCGGTCCGAGGAGGTCGCAAAGGGCCAAGTGCCCGCCCAAATATCTTTCAGATTTTGTGAAGTTGCTATCAAGTTCCAGGGGTAATGCCCTTAAAGTCATTGACTCATAATATTATTTTGTTTTATTTATGATTTCGGGTGTAGCAGTTCACCAAAACAATGGGGAGACACTTGTGGGTGGAGGCATCCTCAGGCACTCCTTCCAAGCTTGAATGTGAGGAAGTATGACACTCTTCCCAAAGAAGAATGTTAAAAAGGTCAGGATTGATTCAAGCTAGGGGGGAGGGGTGTTGTGTCCTGAGCCTGCAAATGCAGGTTCGGGATGTTGCAATGGTCCTGGGCTTTGCAGAAGCTGCCCGGGACCAGACTGAGTGGCACCGGCTTGCGCGCATGCGCAAGGCGGGAAAAGCACCTGGGTTTTGTTGCCATTATGTCCGGGGATCTGGGCGTATAAAAGGAGACCTGCGTGCCTTTGCTCGTTGTTGGAGTTTTGGCTGAAACTGAAATAAAGAGTGGTTCAAGGAAAGATGTGTCTTCATCATTCATCATTACTGCGAGGACTTAACATTTTTCATTTGCTGGACATTTTGAAAATTGTGTTTTCTTATTTGAACAGGTCATTTCTAAACTAGATCTGCTGCTATGTAAAGACTACATTTTTCTTCAAGATGAAAGGAAAATTTACAAGGTATGTCAAACATCAAGCCCTAGCATAGGCCCATCACAATATGTCTTGTTACTTAAATTGTTTTTCAGGAATGTCCAAAGATCACGCATCAAACAAGTAATGAAGGATTTGTGTGTCCAGCATTTTGGCTTGCCTGGGCCACATTGAATGAAGAGGAATTGTCTTGGTCTATATATAAAATAAATAATATAGTTAATGTATATAAATCACATACTTTTAAAAGTTTATGATCTTGTGGGGTCATATTACTAGCTGTCCAGAGCTGCAATGTGGCCCACAGCAGTTCTGACATGCCTGGTTTACAAGAACATGACAACCCACAGTAATTTATATAATAACTGAGGAGCATGACTTTTGGCAAGTATTCAGGAGACAAGTTCCAGATTATGTTTTCAGATAGATAACAGAAAAGCATCCATCCCACTTGAGTAAGTCTTTCACTCGTTACTCCAAGCTAAATATGAAGTAATTATAAATACCTGAAAAGTAACAAAATGGAATGTATAATAATTCAGTAAAAGACTCTATCTGCCAACCTTTACATTTTTTTATTTATAGGTGTCTTGTGGAACTGAATGGGGACTTTTTAAATTATCCTTCAGTGCTATTCTTCAAATATTTCAGTATTAACCTTGTGAACTCTCAAGTTTCGCTATGTATTCAACATGGACAGTGATTAATATTTATATGTAAGGGTGTAGGTCAGTGGTTCTCAACCTTTCTAATGCCGTGACCCCATAAAAGAGTTCCCCATGTTGTGGTGACCCCCAAGTGGGTGTGGCCACCAATAAGAGGGAGTAGGACAGCTAGGGAAAAGGGGAAAAAATGGCAGACTGCGTTGTTTGGCGACCCCCATGAAATGGTCATTTGACCCCAAATGGGGTCCCGACCCACAGGTTGCGAACCACTGGTGTAGATATATACGCATGTTGTATATAACATGTTTATATGTTATGTACGCGTACACTTTTGAAAGCAGGCAACAGAATTTTATTTTTAATGTGTGCCCACAATAAAAAAAATGACAATAATGGTTATCTTATCTGTTTGGAGTTATTTAAGGCAACGATCCTAAGAGCATATTAATTTGTGAGTTGGTCCCCGTTCTGGAGGAATCGTGTTTTAAGTATAACAACGAGGTGTTGTTTAGTCGCCCTATTTACATGTGAAAGATCGACTACGCCACCGTCGCCGGTTTTCCTCCCCCTCCAGCGGCGCCGGCGGGAATCGGAGCCAAGGTCAAAACAACAGCTAGCGAGCCCTCAGCTGCCGCCGTCTTCTCCCTCCCACCCCCGCGCGCCAACCCTTCGGTCTGCTCTCCAAGTTCGAGAGGCCAGCCAATCGTCGTGCGGATACGTCATCGTGCTCCGTTCGTATGCCCCCCCTCCGACCTCGGCATAGGCAGCCAATCAGATCTTCCTTTCCGTCTGCTTCCCAATGAGAAAGCAGCTCTAGTTTTCTTCCCGTCCCCTCGTTCTAGGGTTAGTTTCCTTCAAAAAGAAGCCGTGGTACGCCTTCGTTGGCTGACCGGGTCGCTCAGTCGAGCCGAACCGCAGACGGGAGGGCGCCGGCGCTTTTGGCGGAGGGCTTCAGTCGAGTCTGTGGCATTTGTGGCGCAGTGATGCCGGGCGCGGTTCTGCTGGTGGCGGCCACGGGGGTCGCTCTCGTTGTGGCCTTTCTGCTGCTTCTCTACCTTGTCTTGCCGCTCAACTATCCCAAACCGCTGTCGTTGTCCGGAGCTCACGTTGTGGTGAGAATCTAGCCAAGATTATTGCAGAGTTGAGGACTTGGGAGGGCAAAGTGAGGCTGATAGAAAGATGAAATTTGCGGTTCTGCTGGCAGACACTTTAAACCTCTGGTTCCTTTCCCGCTTCTCTTCCCCCATCCTTTTCCCGCCTGTGTTAGTGAATTAGATGCCTGCTTCTAGTCTGTGTATTTTAACTCTTATCCACAAACCTATGGTGAATATCGGTTTCAAAATGCAGCCTTCCAAAAGTGGTTTCTGGAATGTTTGGGTTTACTTATGAGTCGAAAAGGGTGTGAATGACCTCTGTTATTTTTAGCCTAAAGCAATAAGTGTTCCTTAAATTCATTCTTAAAGAAAAGATTTGAATCGATTAGGAAATAAAAAGGATGTTGATGTTGTTTTGATAAGTTTTCCTGATTCTCTCCCCCTTCCCCCCCTTTCAAGAATCCCCACTTTTATGTTCTGTAATGTTTCTCTTTGATAAATACTCAAAATTGTAACAGCTTTTTATTAAAGAAGTTCTTTATGAAGGAAATGCAAGCTGTAAATCCTAACCAAACATTTCTTAGCCCTATAGATTTTAATATTGAACACTTAGTTATCTTAAATATAGTGTCACACATGCTTAAAACAAGTCCATAGTATTTAGTGGGTGTTTGACTTCAAATGACTTTGTTTTATATTTGTGCTGTAAAAATATATCTAAACTGCATGTACACTTTATATGAATGTAGTATATAAAGCAGAGCAGGTATTTCTAATAGTTTGAGAAAAAGTTTTCAAAGCCCATGTAAAATTTCAGTTTTTCAGACATGATGTGCATAAGCTAAACAAAAGTCAGAAGCTACAGCAATGTGTATAAATGAAGTAAATCTTTGCAAAAAAAACCTCATGTTGAAATAATTCCTATTCTCACATTTTATTCTTTATACTTATTGTATTGATTTGCCACATTTAATGGAGATTCTTTTAGTATATTTTTATAATAGATATCTGAAACCACTTTATATTACACATGGATGTACACCAACACTCTTAGTAGCAATACCCATGATGGACTCCAACTGGATTTTCTTGTTTTGTATGTATTAAGGATTATCTTAAAATAACAAATATTTGACCACAAACAACCCCCTAATTCCACTTGCTTAAAAGAGGTTGTTTTTTAACCAAGGCAAAGAATGAACAAACCGCAGTAGCAACTCATACTCAAATTCTCAAATCATTACGTAATGGTATGCAATAACATGCATGTCCCTCAAGAAAAATAACATTTAAAGGTAGTCAAAATTCACAAGATTTTGGCCATTTTGTTAAAAATCTATATATTTTTAAACAATTAGGATAATATTGGGCATGTATTAGCACGTTGTAAATCCCTTTTGGGTTATTAAGAAGTTTACTGTTAAATGATAGTGTTTGGGCTGTGGATGTGCCAAGTCTTGTTCTCACCATAGGAGATTAAATGATAGAATGCAATCTTTAGCTCAGTTCCTCTAGTAATATTCTCCAGGTTGTAGTTTAGCTTACTTGGTACTTAATTTCTTTGTTTATTTGAAACTTATAAGAAAATCAAAGAGCAGGAAGAAGTGGAAATTCTCAGGTTTCAGTTCAGTTTGGTTACTAGAATTTTATATAATGTATTCACTGAAGTCAAGTTCTCATGAAAATCAAGCATGTTTTATATTGAAAGTCACTACTGCTCTTGGAGTCTTGTTCATTTGGTTTGGCTATGCTTTTAATTAAACAACTGATTTGCATTTCCAACTTATAATCTGCGATTTCACCAGCATATTAATATGTGTATAATGCAAAAACTACATGTACACATACTTTTCAATTATCTAATGAATATAGTTTGCAGAAGAAAGCATGCAGTAATGTAGATGTCAACCCCACACCAAAGAACTTGTGTTTTTTTTTTTAAAAAAAAGATCTACTAGGCAGACAATTGAGAACAGTCTTTGTCAGTTTTTATGTTTGGAATAAGACAGCCAGAATCTCCTCTGGAGAGTGAGGCCTTGCAATAGTAATGGGATCTTAAGTAACTGCTCTTTTCCCCGATTGTCCCATCCTCTGCCAGTAAGAGCAGTAGGAGCAGCATAAACTGAAATTGCTTTGGGAAATTGAACTTAATTTTAGCGGTCAAAGCCAGCAGAACATTGGAAGTAATGCTATTCATAATGTCCTTATTTAGTCTTAAGGAATCATATAAAATATTATGGTCAAGGTCAAGGTAAAAATCAAAGAATTGCTTCAAACTTTAGAAGAAAACTTAGTGAATTCATGTTAACAGTGATGTAAAATAATTAGTTGATAAGCTAGTTATGCAGCTGATAAACTGCATAGGTTGACAGATAATAAGATATAAATACTGAGAATGACAAAAATCAGATTGGCATCAAGAATTGGTGTGTGTTTGAAGTTTTTTAAATACTTAAGTCCATTATATTAATCTTACATATTATTACAAAATGTTTATAGAATTTTTTTCGTAGGGATGTCATTCTGACATAGAGATAGTCCTCAACTTATGACCACAGTTGAATGCAGAGTTTCTATTGCTAAGCAAGGCAGTTATTAAGTAAGTCATGTCCCCTTTTACAACCTTTTTTGCCACAGTTGTGAATCACTGCAGTTCTTAAGGGAATCATTAAGCAAATCTGGCTTAATGTGTGTTGCCTTATGAGATAACTATTCCAACTTTATGCCTTTTAATTTTTCCAACTAACAAAATATATGCCTTTTGTTCCTTTTTTTAAGGCAAATCTACCCTCCTGGGATTTTTTTTATTGTTGTTGTTGTTGAACTGGATTATTTAAAAGATAGTTTGGAAAATTATCTTTAATTTGGTAACTATACACAGATGAATTCTTGTATATATCTGTATTGATGTATGGGATACCAGTTTCCCTCTTCTGTTTATTACTTAATAAAATTCTATTCAGTATACAATGGATTGATACCCCACAGAGGTTTTAGATCAGCACTGATGATGTTACCTAATTCAAATAATGAAATGTCTGCAAGAAAACAAGCCCAGAGAGCACCAAGGACCCTCAGAGGGTTTATTTCTGATTATTATTATTATTATTATTATGGATCATCGCACAGTCAGCCTGATGTTCAGACTGGATTTGGCATTTTGTCTACCTATCGAGTCCTTACCCAGGACCTGGGATAGGCAGATGTGGATGTTTGATGGTATTACAGATATCGTCGCAGGATGGAAGCAGTTCCTAATAAGGCCGCCTTTTGCAATTGACTAATAGCGAATTTGTCAATGCCAATGGTGTTCAAGTGGTGCTCCAGTTGTTTTGGGATTGCACCCAAGGAGCCTATGACTATTGGTACTACCCTTGCTTGCTTTTGCCACAGTCTTTCTATTTCTATTTGTAGGTCTTTGTATTTTGTTATCTTCTCCAGTTCTTTCTCTTCTATTATTATTATTATTATTATTATTATTATTATTATTATTATTATTATTATTATTATTATTATTATTATATCTCAGTCTTTATTCAGGAGCTCAAGGCAACCTATGTAATGTTCTCTCCTTATAACTGAGAGTTTAGAGTTTCCTAGCATACAGGTAATCCTCAACCTATGACTGGTTGCTTAACTTGATAGTTTGATATTGAGAGCTTATATTTCTGTGGCGTTATAGAATAGATGCTTTTTTGCAATGTGTTATAACAGTGTTTTCATTCCCTTAATTTTAAAATGTGCCATTGTTTTTTTTTAAGTTGTCACCTTATTTTATCTTACTTTCTGAAAATAGCTTTTAAGGAAAAATTAACTATTCATTTTTTGCATCATAGTTTACAAGTACAAAAAACACAACCTTCTTTAATTTATATTCCCGAAATAAGTTATAGAGAAAAAAATGTTCTGCTAAATGCATATTTAACAAGAAAACATTATACAAACTGCATAGATTTTTAAAAACAAATATCAACCAACTTTATTAAGCTGACTTACATCATTTCCTTTTCAAAAAAAGAATGAGAATTTGCACCCTTTTGGATGCATTAAGAAATTGTTTAACCTCTATGTGTGGCCTTGTATATAATGGTTATTGAAGAAAAATATATTATTTCATTGAATATCTTTATCAGCCATGTCAGGAACTAAGAATTTCTCTGAATTTGCACAACAAATATACCTTTGAGACAGTCAAATGGTGGACCTGATAGGCATGCTATTTGCCTTTAACTTTTGTCACTTAAAGATAACAGGTATTTCTTGTTGAATCTTATATACTAATTTCCAAACTAGTCTAATATCAAATATCACAGTCTATGGATTTTTTCCCCCCAAATAAGATATTTGTCATCATCCTATCTTTCCTTCATTCCACTTCTGAAATTTTATCAGGCCTTCACTGGGCCAAGATGGAAGAACTACCCTCTACAGATCCGTGGGGACATTATAAAAATATCCCTTTGCACCAGCATATATCCCTTGTGGGGACGCTCTATCAAGTTCCTCTGTTGCTCTCTATGCAGGAAATCTTGGATGACATTCATTTATTCCATTCTGAACAAAACATCCTGGCAAAAAGTTTGAAGCTTATTTGTCACTTCTACTCTCTGACCAGGACTCTGATGTATTCTCCCATGTTGTTTGATTTTGTGCTTCTGTTTATAATCTTGGTGATGCTAATCACAATAAATACAATAAATGAAGAAGGCAGATTACAGAGTTTCCGAAAATTCTGGTGGCAAGATTTTGACGAAAAAAATGTAGCCTTTACAGTCTCTTTTCATACTCAGGAATAGTAAAATTAACAGTCAGCAGAATTTCAAAGTAATAATACTTGGAAATGCATTATTAAAGGCACGTAGTGACACTAGAATTAAAAAATTAAAAGTTAAACAAAATTAAGTTATGATTACCATACACATGACATTTAAATAATCACCATTTTAAAATGGTGGGGGTGCGGTTAATCTGTACGGGTATTTTTAATTGGTTTTAGATTGTTTTCAAGCATACAGTATATAGATATATTCAAAAATAATATAGAGAGGATGTATGTCAACAGGAAGATAGGCATGCCACAGAAAGTAAAAAATGTCCAGTTGTTTCCTACATTTAGAGTTATAATTAGTAAGCTATTATATTAATGGTCTTGAACCTACCTTGAACCAAAAACACTATCTTAATCCATCTTTTGGTTGACAAAATATTTTCCTGTGATTTTAAAAGATATTTCAGCTTCAGCTATTGTTGACTGACTACATTTTAAAAACCACTGTTTCCTGTTTGTTTAGAACAATCAAGAAATACTGATTTACTTCTAAAGTCAGTTTACAATATTAGGACTATGTTTTAAGAGGTTTTATCCTGAAATCTATTACATTTAGCATTTTACTGTGAGATAATTGTGACCTTGATGAATTACCTTTATTTTTTCTTTTGAACTTAGTGTTAGTTTTAAAAAAGATAAAAGCAAGAATTTAAAGAAATGTAATACTTTCTTCTACTAGCTTTAGTTCCCCCACCCTTTAAAGAAGTACTCTTCTGTTTTACAGGCCCAAATATAGGTAGGAATTTTGTTGGAAACCTCTTCTGAAGTGGAGGCAGATTTTCAGAACTGTTTTCTTTAAGTTTAGAACATCATAAGAGCCTAAGGAATTATTTAGATTTGACCCTGAAAGCTCATCATATTCCCCAAAACAAATATTTATCATTTTGTTGTAATAAATATACAACATCTGTTACATGCTTCCATCCTTTCTTTCATTCCAGTGTTAATAGATAATGCTAGATAGATATGCTAATTTTTTATTTTCAACAAGCTCCCAAAAGCATCAGTTTAATTAAACTCTAAAAATGTTCAACTGATTTTAAATGCAACTGAATTTATGTTTTAATCAATAAAATCACTACTTTAAAATTCAAATTAATTTTTTTAAAAAAACAAAATCATGTAATTCTAATTTTTAAAAAATACGGTAGTCTGTTGCTGTAAAATAAGTATTCTAATATCTCAAAAAGATACTGTGTGTCAGTGGTGGCGAACCAGAGGTGGCATTCAGAGCCCTCTCTGGGCATGCCCTGGAGATGGCAACTGTCCCTCTTCAACCAGCCGCCTGCTAACTCGCCAAGGTCCCATGTGACTGGATGCATCCCGGCACGGCTGGTTTCCCTCCCGTCCCGTCCCTCCTGGCCTCACATGCTCTCATTTTCCCAGGCACGACCCACTGCATCGCCTCCTTAGCTGTTGGCCAGCCATCCAGCTCATAAGCGACTTCTTTGAACTACTGGCGGCGGGCTGCAGAGCCCCAGAGTGCACCGGTCGAGGGGCCAGCAGGGTGTGGTTGCTGACGGATATTGTCGGCCCCCATGCGCTCGCTGGCCTCTGTGTGCGGGGACCGATGGTGTCAGGCAGCAGCTGCCCCGGCCCTTGCCTTGCCCCATGGCAATGGCACCCCCGCCCTGCCTCGCCTCATCCACAGGACGAGCCTCCTGCCTACCGCCCCACCTGCCAGAGACCCCCTGGATCTCCCCCAACCCTGCCCATCCCCCACAGGCATCCCTCCCCACGAGCAACATTGAGTTGACCACACCCACCCAATCTGCCATGACCACCACAGCCACACCCATCCAGTGGGCCATGCCCATCTGGCAACTGGCGGTAAATAACTGGGTTTTGGGTTGCAGTTTGGGCACTCGGTCTCTAAAAGGTTCTCCATCACTGCTGTATGTTATGGATTATAGTCAATTTCATCAAATGCATTGGCTATTATCTTGGGCAAAGAGAATATATATAAGAAGATTGGAGTAGAAAGAAAAATAAAGAGGGGGAAACAAAATGCACACTGTCATTATCCATTTTGACTGTTTGTAGATCAGCTATTGGGTATGTCAAACTGGTGACCTGGATAGCAAGCAATAATTAAGGCATTGCTCAGTCAAGACATAGACACTGTTTACAATGGTGGGATTTAGCTGGTTCACACCAGTTCGGCAGAACTATTACCTACTTTCTCTTGAGTTTGGCGAACTGGTTGTTAAAATGGCACTTGAAAAAAAATGGAGTTTGTGTGCGCACCTGCCTTGCATTCACCCCCGTGTCCGCCATGCTCTCCACGGCACGCTGCAGCTGATCCTAGATGGCCGGCCAGGCACCGAAGCACCGCTGAAAGCAGCCAAATCTGTGTGTGTGCCTGCCTTGCCCGCATCAGCCATGCTCTCCACAGCACACTGCAGCTGATCCAAGGCATGGAAAGCACAGCTGATGGGTAAGTGTGTACCAGGCATGCACACAGACTCTGCTGTTTTCTGCGGTGCTTCGGTGCCTGGCCAGCCATCTAGGATCAGCTGCAACGTACTATGGAGAGCATGGCGGATGCGAGGCAAATGTGAGGCAGGTACGCATACAGACTCTGGTTTTTCGGTGCCCTCCCAAGAGGCGGCATGGCAATTGATCGGTGGACATGCCACAAATGGGGATTCACCATCTCCCAAACCCTGTCGTTGCCAAAGTGGATTCTAGGCTGCAAAGTATGGAGCTAGCGCAAGGGAAGGAGGATTGGGGAGAAGAAAGAGGAAAAGCAGCTGAGTGAGAAGTGCCATTGAAAACAGCGGAGTCCATGTGCCTGCCTGCCACATACTTGCCCCGCATTAGCCATGCTTTCCAGGTACGCTGCAGCTGATCCAAGACATGGAGAGCATGGCTGACACAAAGTGAGCGCACACAGATTCCACTGTTTTCAGTGGTGCTTCGGTACCTGACCGGCCGGGATGGCCCCACTCCTCACTCGGCCTCTTTTTCTCTTTCTTCTCCCCACTCTTTCTTCCCTCACACCAGCTGCTCCACTTCCCATCTCTCCATTGCAGCACATATTGCAGCCTGGGATCAACTTTGACAAACTTCTTTTGTTTGTGGGACTGCCCACAGCAGCGGAACGCGTCAGAGCTGGAAAGAAGGTTAGCAAATAAATGCTTGGGGAAGGGAGGGCATCTGGGCAGTGGTGGGTGAGGCAAGCTCTCCAGCTCCACGGCAGCAGAGAAATGCGACACTTTACGGCTCCGGCACTCCACCTGGCGCTTTGGTGGCTGTGTGGGCAGAGCTGCGAAGAGGGCCAGGTGGCCGAAAGCACCAGCAGTCTGGCTCGGAAGGGGAGTGAAAGGGCAAACCCCCTAAGATCTGAAACAGATCCTTTGCTTTCTAGCAGCTACCCAGGCCCGCCAGAGGGAAGGCCGGAATCTACTGGTACCGGCACTTATGGTAAACACGGTGGCATTCCAGCTCTGGCAGAGAAGGGGCAACTGGCATGGGTGCTACAGAGAGGATACCAACCTGCTTCAGCACTCTCCCCAACCCTATGGTGTTCTGCTGGTGCTTTGGCCTTGGTCTGCTGCCGCATGCACAAGCCATGCCTGCCCCCGCGCGCTTGTTACCTACTACAATGTTAAGACATCCCCTGAAAATAAGATCTACTACAAGGTGATGCAGTATCACCTATCCTTTTCTCAGCCTGCCTTGAAGAAGTATTTCACAAACTAGACTGGGCAAAAGATGAAATAAAAATCCAGTTTAAATCCTTAAGTGATTTAAATAAAAATATTTAAATCACTTAAGGTTTGCAGATAATGTTGTTCTCTTATTACAAGACTCAGAAGAGCTACAAAGAGACATACAAGAGCGGCACAAAGCAGGAGAACCATTTGGCTTAAAAATAACCTGAAAAAGAGCCAGGTTTTGTTTAATAAATTAACCAAAGGAAGAAGAAAATTATATGGATCTCAATGGTAGGAGATACAATTAAGGAAATTGAATGACGTGTTAAATGTGGTTGGCAGGCATTCGGCAAGCTAAGCATAATTTTCAAGAACAACCTGTCCCTCTGCCTGAAGAGAAAAGTTTTTGATCAGTGTATAACATGCTGGTGAAACATGGACACTAACCCCACAATTGATACAAAAGCTACGAATGGCACAAAGAGCCATGGAAAGATACATGCTTGGCGTTACAAGACAAGCTAGAAAAACCTGCACATAGGTTAGGGAACAAACAAAAGTATACAATATCATCAAGAGAGTAAAAGAATTGAAATGGGCTGATCACATAGCACAGTGTTTCTCAACCTTGGCAACTTTACGACGTGTGGACTTCAACTCCCAGAATTCTCCAGCTAGTGTTGCTAGCTGGAGGTTGAGAAACACTGATTCATAGCAAGAAGAGCTGATGGCAGTCACAGAAAGGATCCCACTTGATAAAAAGCGTCCACAAAAGAGACCTAAAACAAGATGTATCAACAACATCAGCAAGTATTGTGGGCTCAGTTGGCAAAAGAAAGCTCAGTAGTAGATTGGGATGTAGATAGCTTAGTAGTAGATTAGGGTGCACAACTCTATTAAATAATTAAGTTTAAAATGAACTTGATTAACCATGGAGACGACTTGCAAGCATTTCTATCATTGTTTACAATCTTCATAATATAACCATGGACCAGAAATGTCCCATTGCATATGGAGGGGAAATGCTGGTGCATGCAAATGTGTGACTTCTACTTGGAATTCTTATTTCTAAGAGCTGTACAATGACAATTTACTAACTTCATGACTTTAATCCATATCTCCTTTGCTTAAAGGTAACTGGAGGCTCCAGTGGCATTGGGAAAAGCATTGCTATTGAGTGCGTCAACCAGGGTGCTTTTGTGACACTGATTGCAAGAAATGAGGTAAATTTTTAAGTTTGTTTATTTAATAATTATCATGTTTTAAGCTAATTACAGGTTATTACACAACAGTGACCATAAGTCACTGTTGTTTAATTAAATGTATTCTGGGATTCAAAATCAAGCACTGATGGCCTTGACTAAATCCCATTGAAAAAAAAATGAAATTAAATTAGTGAAAGCGAAATGCAGCTGAATTTGTGGCATTTCTAGTGTTTTTTCAATAGAGACATTGTTCTTGTAAATTTGGATCAGATGTAGGAAAATCAAGATAAGATCACATCAGCATCAGCTGTTCAAATAACATCTGTGGATTGGGCTATGAGGAGAGAAAGCCCACATCCTATTTTTATAGAATCGTTTCTCAATGCACAAGGAGCAATATCTTATACTTCTTTGTGCATGGAACTTAGCACTCCGGAGGACAAGGCCCAGAGCAAGTGTTTTTTTGTTCTTCTGGTATACTTTTTCATGTGTGCCTGGTTCCAATCTACTGTCTACTGCCAAAGTGCTGTTTTGCATATGGAGATGTGCACGTCTTTATTGGTGGAATTCAGCAGGTCTCTACTGCAATGTTTCACTGTAGCCCCACAAAGCTTAGGGGTGAAATGGTTTGAGATCAGCCACTTTACTGCTATAGAAGCATTTCTACACTAAACAGACTTCTTCATTCAGGGTGCTGCAAAGCGTGAAGTGATAGAGTCATAGACTCAAAAGAAATTGTGTACAATCCTATTGGAAATTACCCACAGTTCTATAAGGCTAAACAGTGGCATGAGCAAACAGCCTCCATGGAATAGAGCCAGCAGAATAAGTACATCTAGTCTCTGTAGTAAGCCATCAAAGAACATTGTGACCAGTTCCAAAGCCAAGGCTTTAGATGGCAGCTTCCCTTGCAGAATGAAACCTCCTGGCCCGAGTTGATAAATTAATAGATTTTTATCCTGCCTTCATTGCGTATACAATACTCCTTTCTCCTATTTTACCCACAATCTTGTGAGGTGGGTTGGACTAAGAGAGTGATTGGCCCAAAGCTGACTTTCATGCCTAGGATGGGACTAGAACTCACCGTCTCCTGATTCCTAGGCCAGCACTTTAACCACTACACCTTACTGGTTCTCCAGTTTTCAAGTGTACACAACTCCAAAACATAGTTTTATGTCGTTGCCATTTCTTCATTTCAGTCTGCACCAAGGTAGCTAATCTACACCATGATGGCGCAGTGGTTAAAATGCAATACTGCAGGCTACTTCTGCTGACTGCAGACTGCAGTAGTTCAGCAATTTGAGGCTCACCGGCTCAAGATTGACTCAGGCTTCCATCCTTCCCAGGTTGGTAAAATGAAGATCCAGATTGTTGGGGGCAATAGGCTGACTCTAAACTGCTTAGAGACGGCTGTAAAGCACTGTGAATATAAGTATATAAGTCTGAGTGCTATTGCAATATTGACAGAAATAAACCTCAGAAACAAGCTCAGGTGAAGTTGTCAAGGCAATGCTTCCTTTTGGCCAGCTGTTCAACAAAGACTGCCTCAGACTCATATCAGCTGATCTTGCTGCAGTTGTTTCTTTTCATTAGCAGCTAGAAATAAAGCTATAGGAAGAAGTTGGAGCTGTCAGATGTTTAGTGCTCCCATATCAGGCCTCACATTTTTGGACAGAAGTTGTATCCTTTTGTTAAGGAAACAGTTATAGATATTCTATATATATTTATGTTGTCTTGTGGGCTTGAAAACATGTAGATTCTGGTATTATGTACTTACTGTACATTGTATATTATAAACTTTAATTTTTATTTTGTAAGTTGTAACCAGCTTTTTATGATTGAATCAAAGAAGCATACATCTACTTTAATTAAAAACATACCTAATAATGGAACAAGCAACAATACAAAAGCATAAATAAAGCATTAAAGTGCTGAAAATGAAATATAAATTGATAAAGTTAAAAATGTCCACTAAAATGAAATATCAAAATAACTTTGTTTGCAGTGATATGTATTGGATGCTACAATATAATATTACTTTTTTTATCTTGAACAGTATTGGCTAGAATGCCAGCCCTTAACAGATTTACACGTAGTCCTGTGTTGGTGACGTTATGCCATTTACAGACTAATAAAGTAGGGATGTGCGGTGCTTCTGAACTAAAATTTAAAAAGTGCTTTGGAGGGGTAAAAGCATGCACATCTCACTATTTAGCATTGCTTAAAGTAGTTACATCTCTCCCTGGACTCAGAAAGTAGCTACATGACCCCAGGAAAACATTTGAGTTAAGGAGGTGCATGTTCATTGTCCCACCCTGAAGGTGCCTTCTTAAACTGAACATGTGGCTGAGTTATAATATAATAATGACTTTCAATTAAAGGGCGATTACCACTTGCATTTCTGTTACCTTTCTGTTGCCATTGGAATGACGTGTGTTATGTGGATGCTTTATGAGAATGATTGTTTGCTTCTTGGGAAGTAGAGATCTTAAGAATAAAGGTTACCCTAGTGTAAACTTTTACATCTTAATAAGTCCCATGAAACACAATGAAACTTCTGAATACACTGATGGGCTTGTATATAGACATAACTCAAATCAAAGTTCTGAAAATGGAGTTAAATGGTTGATTTAGTTCAAATTGGCTAAAGAAATTACTTACATAGTTATAGAACTTGCAATACATTGATTTCTATATAGATTTGTTCTATACTAGATGGTAATTTTTAAAATAATTTTAGAAATGCTTTATTTTAACATAATTATTTTAGTAGAAAGTCCAAGGTGTGCTTATTTAATTCCAGAAACGTCTCTTGGAGGCCAAGAAAGAAATTGAGACATTTTCAGTTAATGATAAGCAGGTAAGTTTCCACTTTCACTTTTAACAATATTCCCTCCCCCCCCCCCTCTCTCTCTCTCTCTCTCTCTCTCTCTCTCTCTCTTTTTCTCCCACACACATACTTAGAGTACATGAAGTGTTGTTATCCTAACTATCAAATGTTATAAATAAAATGTGATGTAATAGTTTCCTCATAAGTCATAAAATTAAAGTACTTTGCAAATAATTTCATAGGTAATCCGAAGCTTGTTTGTTAAAGAAAAGGAAGTCGTAAATTATATATATGTATATCCATGGTGCTAGCATCCAGAAAGTAGCATACACATTTATTTTGACAGAGACTTCTAAAAGTTCCCAGCAGTATCTTTTCTGAAACTAATGGGATTTGCATCCTTCAGTCAATGTCTTTAAGGCATAGGGAGTTCCCAGAATAATTGTATTATTCATGCTAGAAGGTTAACCTATGTCAGTGGTAGTCAACCTGGTCCCTACTGCCCACTAGTGGGCGTTTCAGCTTTCATGGTGGGCTGTAGGGGTTTTGTCCAATACTTGATGAAGCCCTTTCCTTTTTTTTTAATTTAATTGACTTTTTAAAAAAATTTTCAGAGCATTATTTAAAAACATTTTCATTAGGTTTTCATAAAATTCCCCGTGACAATTTAAATTTCTGAAAATATACTATTTGTTCACCCGCGCATAAGTTTAGTTCACGTTATATAAGTGAAACGAAATGGCGTTATAGTGTGACCGCAAACAAAGCCTCAGAATAGCTCGCATATCTCCCCCACACCACCCAGCTGTAACAGACAAGCAGAGCTGGTAGCCGGCGCCCCCCTCCGCAAACCCAATCCACGATGCGCGAGAGGCATGCACAGATGACGATACACGGCGGAACCTCTTTTGTTTGCAATCGCACTGGTCAGTACGCATTAGGTTTGTAAGAGTGAACATGTGCCTACAGCTTCAAACAAAATATTGTGAGTCCATGTCTCAAAAAAAGAAATATGCTCGTGGCTATTTGTCAGAGTATCTGAAGATGGATTTCATAGAATCTGTTGTAAATAAACAACATCCAATGTATTTATTGTGTCATAAAACATTATCCAATGAGGCAATGAAGCCAAGTCGATTGCGAGAACATCTTTCTACAAGACAAGCCCATTGAATATTTTCAGGAAATATATAAAAAAATTCAAAATCGTTCAACAATCATTGCATCATTTAAGAAACAACATGCAGCGAATGAAGATGGATTAATTGCCGCTTATCGCATTTCATAATTAATTGCAAAAAGTGATAAAAGCTATAATATTGGAGAAACTGTAATAATACCCTCTATAAAAGAATTTATCTCAACAGTAATGCATCAGGATATACCTGAAATTTTAAAAATGTTGCCCCTAAGCGATAGCACAGTAAAGCGACAAATTGAAGAAATGGCAGTTAATGTTGAAAAAAAACCTGATAAGTATTCTCCAAAACTCTTCATTTTCCATGCCATTGGACGAGTCTACCATTGCAGATAATAATGCTTTATTGATGGCATATGTATGTTATTTTGATGAAAACAATACATTATGAGAAGAAATGCTATTTGCAATAAATCTCATTACAGATACAAGAGGATTATCTATATTTAATACTGTGAAATCATACTTTACAAAAAATAATATTCTTTTGAATAATATTGTTGCATGTGCTACTGATGGAGCACCATCAATGGTAGGTCGCTATCGTGGATTTGTTGCTTATTTGAAGGAAGAAGTGACAAATGTTTTATGTATTCATTGTGTGGTGCACAGACAACAACATCTTGTAGGAAAACTTCTAAGTACAAGTCTCCATCATTAACTATAATAATTTGAGCCATAAACAAGATCAAATCCAATGCAAAAAAATGATAGAATGTTTCAACAGTTTTGCTAGGACAATAATGAAGATTTTATTACGTTACCTTTGCACACAGAAGTTTGGTGGCTGTCAAAGGGTACATCTTTGGCTCATTTTGTAGCATTATATGATAGTGTCATACAATTTTTTGAAAGTAATAATGAGACCAATCTGTGTCAACAGTTAAAAACAGTAAAGAATGATGCCTTTTATTTGGCAGATATTTTCAAGAGATTTCATGATGTCAATTTGCAGCTTCAAGGAGCTAATAAAACTCTTATAGGTTGCCAAAGTATTGTGTCATTATTTATTGACAAACTTGAACTACTTTGTTATAATCTATTGAAGAGAGAATTTCATCAGTTTCCTGAATTATCATCTATAAAAGATGATGTAACTCCAGAGGATATTGACAGATTCAGTAGCCACCTCAATGAAATTGGACATGGAAAAATGATTTGAAGATATTTTGAAATTGAAGGTGTATGACTGGATGAAAAATCCTTTTACTGCAAATATTGAGGCTGATACAACTTGCCAAGAAGAACTGTTAGAAATTAGATGTGATGAAGAAAGTAAAACATAAATTTGATAGTGGTGGATATGAAAATCTATGGCAAAATAAAAAAATGCCTGTCTTATATCCAAATATGTGGAAAATGATATTCAGTTTATTGATACCTTTCCCTACCTCATATCTTGTGGAATCAGGCTTTAGTGCTGTTAATCATATTATGACCAAAGAAAGAAACCGCCTGAATATTTCCGAAAGAGGAGACCTTCGTTTGTTCCTTATAAAAATTGAGCTAGATATCCAGTATTTAGTTTCGCAGCATCAGCCTCAGAGATCTCATTAATAATTTAATTAATTAAATGTAATTTCATCAGACTTCATGCTTCTATGTATGCAAAGTATAAATAAAATGATATATTTAACTACAGTAAGTTGTTTTATAAAGATTTATTCTGCCAAACTTAGCGAAAGTCCGACATAAAGTATTTGGTAAATAATTATTATTATATGCTTTAACTTGCTGTAACTCTGCTTTATAAATTTTATAAAATAAAGTTACTTCCCTACTTTATAAATCACCATTACTGTGGAACCGGTGGGCGGTTAGAAAATTTTACTACTAACAGAGATACAAAAGTGGGTGGTAGGTATAAAAAGGTTGACTACCCCTGTTTTAAATGATGCATAAATATGTATGTAAAATAATGGGTAGGTGATCTTTGAAACAATTATGTGTTTTGGATGAATAAAGAATAGGGAGAAAACAAAAGGTAAATATGTAAATCGACTAATGGTCAGCACTAAATTAGTGCTAGATAAGGGTCAATGGAATTCAGGGTGGGGCTGGACATGGAACTCTTGTGACAACGCAAGGACTCTAAACTCCACCCTCCCCAGCTCTGCCTACTCTTCTCCTACATCTATCTAGTTGTAAACATATTTACAAATAGTATTCTTTATGTCTGAGTTTCACCTATGTGGAATGGTTTCAGATCATGTATCTAAAAATGCTGTCTGTTCATTTATTAATAGTACATTCAAAGCAGGGTTTTATTTGAGATGTAATATTGTTCAGTATTGGGGGGTATTGCTAAGTTAACAGTTTTCTCTCTTTCCCTTCTGATATCCTTTTAAAAATAAGGATTTTCTCTAATTAGAATCTTTTGGAAAACTCTACAAAATTATACATTTAAGTACTCGTAGCTGTCTATTAATACAATCCTCTTGCTGGGCTTCTTGATTTTTAGAATGTATTGAATGGGTTACAACAATTTTGACATTAAATTTGTTATTTAACTGTATAAAGAAAAGAGATGAGCTAGCTCAGGCATATCAGCCTATCTAATCAAAATTCCCACAATGGTCAGCCATGAATTAATAGGAAGCCCATACATAAGACCCCCTACATAATAATACCCTTCTATTCATTTGCCTAGCAGCTGTTTCCAGGAGACTGTTCAAAACCACTAGTTTTCATTGATACAATAATTGCATCCTGCAGGAAATCTTTGTCCTGATAAAATAAAGCTTAGATATTCACCTAATGCCTTAATAACTAGCCAAAATCTGTGCTTGCTACCACACTTACCCATTTTTCAAACAAGGAGAGATGGCCTCAGGATGATGCCAACTTAGTTTTAGTAGTGCTCAAGGCATGGAATCTTTGTTAATGTTAATGTTTGTGACTCATCATTGACACATTGGGGAAATATTTATTTGCTAACTACAAAAAGTTTTCTTGAAAGTCTGCTTGTTTGAAAGCCAGTTTGGTATACAGTATCGATTAAGGTGCTTGCCTAGAACAGGGCTTTTCAAGCTTTTCACCCATTGTACCACTTTTAGGATATGGCAACATCCGAGTACCACCAGTTCCCTAGCAAGGTGTCAAAAACTTGATGACCAAAAAAAAAGAAAAAAGTGATAAAAGTACAGGTAGTCCTCAACTTACAACAGTTCGCTTAGTGACTGTTCGAAGTTACAATGGCACTGAAAAAAGTGCCCCCAAGCCACAGGCGAGCAAGACAGTGCCCAGCAGTGCTCTTCCTCCTGTCCAAGGTTTTCATTGTTGTGAGCATTTCTGTTGAGGATTGGCAGCGGGGGTGGGGGGGTGTTTGGTTTTTATTCCCCGTCTGCTGGGTGGTTGCAGCAGGTTTTGGTCACTTCACATGACCGTGGGACACTGTGACATCATAAATATAACTCAGATGACAAGCATCTGAATGTAAATCACAAGACCCTGGAGATGCAACATTCCAGCTAATTGGTGCCTCTTCTGGACTCAGCAGAAGCGTCAGGATCAGTGCAGCTTTCCAGCTGATTGGTGCTTCTTTAGGATTCAGCGGAAGCACCAGGATCAGCGCTGAGCTCCAGCTGGAGCCTGGCACTGATCCTGGCACTTCCACTGAGCCCTGACAGCCCCAAAGAAGCGCCAATCAGCTGGAAAGCGGCACTGATCTTGGCACTTCCGCTGAGCCCTGACAGCCCCAAAGAAGCGCCAATCAGCTGGAAAGCGGCACTGATCTTGGCACTTCCGCTGAGCCCTGACAGCCCTGCAGCTCCAGCTATCTCTCACTCAGGCTTGTGCGGTGGTGCCACCGGTTCAGCTCATTCCCCTCCCCCACTACCACTTTTCTAGGATGGTCACGTACCACCTGCCAGGTGCCAATGTACCACAGGTGGTACCCGTACCACTGGTTGAAAAGCCCTGGCCTAGAAACCAGGAGACAGTTCTAGTGCCATCTCAGGCTTGCAGACTGGCTGGGTGACTTTGGGCCAATCACTCTCTCTCAGCCCAAGCCACCTCACACAGGGTTGATGCTGTGGGAGAAATAGGATTATTACATATGAAAAACTTACACTGTTGGAGCACCCACAACTTCTGGAGGCAAGTCATTCCACTGATAAATTGTTCTGTCAGGAAATTTCTTCATAGTTCTAGTTGCTTCTCTCCTTGATTAGTTTCCATCATTGCTTCTTGTTCTGTGCTCAGGTGCTTTGGAGAATAGTTGACTTGCCTCTTCTTTGTGGCAGGTCCTTAGATATTGGAAGATTGCTATCATGTCACCCCTAGACCTTCTTTTCATTAAACTAGACATACCCAGTTCCTACAACTATTCTTTATATGTGTTAGTCTCCAGTCCTCTAATCATCTTTGTCACTCTCAGCATCTTTTTTACATCATGGTGACCAAAACTGGATGCAGTATTTAGTGTGGTCTTTTCAAGGCATTATAAAATGGTATTAACACTTCACGTGATCTTAATTCTAATTTCTCTGTTAATGCAGCCTAGGACTGTGTTGGCCTTTTTGGCAGCTGCAGCACATTGCTGGCTCATATTTAAGTAATTGTCCACTAGGACTCCAAGATGCCTCTCACAGTTACTGCTGTTGAGCCAGATACCACCTATACTATACCTGTGCGTTTGTATGCAGTGGTATAGGGTTTCCTTCCTGAGCAGGGGGTTGGACTAGAAGACCTCCAGGGTCCCTTCCAACTCTGTCACTCTGTTAAGTAATAAGGGCAGGATTAACTCTAATAAAATAACAAACAAATATTGTTTAAGTCACATTTTAGATATGGTAACCTAGGGTAAAATATATTTTATTAGTGTTTTTATGTAAGAAGTAATACTGTAGTTTCTTACATAATGTGGCATTTGGGAAGGTAGAAATAATTAAAAACATGTAAAGTGCTAATTTAAAATGGTTGTAAATTATGAAATCAGTTACATTCAACATTGCATTACATTCAATTGAATGGAATCATATAATTCATTTTTTTTCTCATATAGGTTGTGCATTCTATTTCTCTTGATGTTTCCAAAGATTATGCAAATGTGGAGAAGTTGCTTAAACAAGTAAGGGAACTGCTGGCTTTTATAAAGCTTATATTTTCATTTTACGGTAGAGATATTCTGTTCAAATAGTAGCATATAATTTGTGACACCGATGTATTTTAGGCTCAAGAAAAGTTGGGTCCTGTTGACATGCTTGTTAACTGTGCTGGAACATCAATAACTGGAAAATTTGAAGATATCGATACCTATAGGTTTGAGGTAAGTGGTCCTAGCTTAAGTCTTAAATAAACCCTTTTCTGTTGCATTAAATTGATTATATCTTATGTGAAAGTGAAGTTATTAAAAATTAAAACTTCTAAAGGACCGTATAGACGTATATTAATGCATCTGGACATATAAAAATTAAGATATTGAATGTTAATCTTTATATAAAGCAGGCATGTCCAACTATGGCCTGTGGATAGCATATGCCCTGGATTACTAGCTAATAATCCCACATGATTGTAAACTTTTAATATTATGATGTACATTTATATACATTAACTATATCAGAGTTCTCCAACCTTTTCAGCTTTGCAGCCCGGCGGGGGGGAAGAGAGAGGGGAAAGGTCCCATGCACACATGCAGCTCCATTTGTGCAAACAGCGGAAACGCGCATGGTCACTTGCGCGAGCGGGGATGCTCACACAGTCACCTGCTGCTCAGGATGTGCGTGTGTACACACACACACACACAATCGCTTGCCGTTTCCATGGCCGCTTCCAAAAGACTCAAGCCTGGTAGTGGGCCACGACCCAGGGTTGGGGACCCCTGAACTATAGTGTATATTTTATATAGGCTCCAGTTCAATTCTTCTTTAATCAATATAGGCCAAGCAAGCCAAAAGGTTGGACATACCTGATATAAAGTATACCTGAGTTTGTTCTGTTGTTACTACTTATACTGAACCAGGTTGAATCTTTCCTACTTACGTTATAACCTAATAAATATTCTTGGATACTTTTATGCATAAAGTGTTACAACACTGAACCAATTTAATTTTGTGGATGTGTGGGATATTAATTAAGAGAAAATAGAACTGTCATTTTTAGAAGACGAGGCCTTATAGCTACTATGTAGTTTTATAGTAGTTTCTCATTTCTTCAATTAGTAGTGAAGACCTATTGTTGGGAGTGAGGTTACTTGTAACTGTATTGCTAATAAACACAGGAAACTGACTTATAGTGGCTTTCCAAAACTTGACTGTCAAAGGATTTCTTGAAAGCTTTTTCCTCTGGGGGAGGAAACCCAAGAACATTGCACAGTATCAAAATGGCTATAGAACTGAGTGCAACACACATCATGGATGTTTTACAAGATTGTAAAATCAGCACATTGCATGGAGCAATATTTTGTATTTCCTATATTTTATTTTATTATAGGTTTTGCATAGGATTGTGCCACTATGTAATTTGGATTAAGATTGCTGAAACCTAAATGTGAAGTTACAGGCTAGCACCACACCTGTTTTAATCTATTAATCTATACGTTAACATCATCTGTGCTAAATTTATTATAGAAGCTCTTGACACTAATGTATATTTATCTACAGCAATTAATGGCTATCAACTATCTGGGTAGTGTTTACCCAACTCGTGCAGTAGTTGGTAAAATGAAGGAAAGAAGAATGGGGAGGATTGTGTTTGTGTCATCACAGGCTGGACAAGTTGGTGTTTATGGCTATTCAGCTTATTCTGCAACAAAATATGCTCTTAGAGGATTAGCCGAATCTTTACATATGGAGGTATGATTATCTTTCACCAGTATATGTGGTACTTAAAGAAAATAGTAATAACTTGTTATAGCAGTGGCACTTAGACTTATATGCCGCTTCATAGTGCTGTACAGCCCTCTTTGAGCCCCCCTCTGACCTTTACAGAGTCAGCACATTGCCCCCAACAATCTTGGTCCTCATTTTACCGACCTCCGATAGGTGAATCAACCTTGAGCCAGTCAGAATCAAACTCCTGGCAGTGAGTTAGCCCGCAGTACTGCATTCTAAGCACTGCGCCACCACAGCTGTTATACTTTTTAATGTAAAAACGTTTTGTACAGTTAGGTTAACTGAAGAGTATTATTTTTTGAAATCTTTGTGGCTAAAACCAAAACATAGAATTAATGATAGAGATTTGTTTCAATTTTACCATATTTGAATGATTTACGGTGAACACAAAGTAGAAGATGATTTACAGTGTTACATCAGGCACAGGAAAACTTAATTCTTATGGGATTTACCTCTTTCTTTTCCAGAAAATTTTAAGGCTCACAAGTTAGGGATATGGACCAAGTAATAGGTCAAGGCTGAACCAGAGGCAAAACAGTATCCTGAGATGGAGAGGCTTGCTTGGATTAATTTATACACTAGACTAGAACTCTCCTATTTATTAAATATTTCTGAATCAACAGATAATTTATTTAGTTGTTCATTTAATATAAAATTGATAAATTATGTCTCTTCCATTCTATGCTTCTGTGGCAATGATAGTTGTCTCAGTCTGGCAAAAGAATATTGGTACTTTTCAAAATAGCCACTGTTAGTAGCATGAAAATAAACTTTCCCTGTTCTATAGATGTAGTCAAATAATTGTGCCAACCTTTTGCCCAGGTTCAAAAGTAAGAATTTTTTTTCTTTTTGTAGAATATAGATGAATAACTGTATGCTCATAAGTCAGCTTCACTTCTTCTGATAAAAGAATACAATTTCACATCTTAAAAAAAACAGAAGCAGAACATAGAAGGTTGAATTTACAGTTCATATTGAACTCTTAAGTTCATAGTTTTACTGAATTATTTTATAATTTGCAGTAAGCATCCCAGGTTTTACTGGGATTTATACATCTTATAGCCCTAGTAATATGATATCCTACTTGCACTACTGATTTAACTGGTAAGCAGCAAGTGATCAATTAGAATAAAATATGAAATGAGTGAAGGCTAAGTAGTATTTTTAGAGTATTACCAACTTCTTGGCAACTATAAGGAAAGTATATGCCTTTTCTTGCATCTCACCATCTATTTTTACGTAAGATTAGTAAGCATGGAGCTCTGAAACTACTACAGCATAAGCCTGAGTATTTTTCTCAACAGGTAAAACCATATAACATATGTGTGACTATTGCCTATCCTCCAGATACAGACACACCTGGCTTTGCAGAAGAAAGTCAGAACAAGGTAACTTCTTAGTTTCTTTCAATTAAATTCCAGATAATACACATCAATATGTTTTCTTCAAACTCATTTTAAAATTATGTTTATTACTTTTATGTTGCATAACAATTATCATGTATGCAGCATTCACCACAACTCTGAAAACTTTTATTTATTTTATTCTGATCTAGAACAAAAGTAAAATCCTGGATTACAGGTAAAAAGATTTGCAAAATGATTATATTTTTCATATACATTATATTTTATTTATTTTATTCTGATCTAGAACAAAAGTAAAATCCTGTATCACAAGTAAAAAGATTTGCAAAATGATTACATTAATATTAGATTTATCTCTAATTAGACAGTGAACATTTCAGTATTCCCATTATTGATACCAAAGCTGTAGAATAGCTGCAAATATCAAAAATGTCTTGTTCTACCATGAATTTGAATGTATATATCTCTGTTCCAAAATCTAGCCCAAAATATTTTTCGTCAGAGAAAATGTGAGTTTCTTGCAAAAAAAACCCCAAACCCTGCCCTTTAGAAGTTTTGTAAGAAAATCTTTCTTCTATGTATAATTTTCAACTCTTTAACATTCTTGATTTACAAAAGCTATGTATTTAAATAAAATAAAATAAAAGATTTTATTTAGTTATTTAGTTAATTATAAACAACATAATATAATTGTAATTCTTATAATTAATTATTTAACAAAACAATTGATTTAGACGAGAAAACTTTAATCTGAAGATAATATATAATAATCACAAAATCGGAGGCCACTATAGCCATATTAACAACAGCAAAAACGTATAGAAAAAGTAAAGGGAATAAAAAAGTAAACAAAACTGTTAGTTTTTTTTTTTTTTTTAAGGGAAACTAGACCTACGAGATTTCTAGCAGGAACTTTTACCTCAGACATACTATTTTCTCGTCTCCCAGAGCTGCATAAATGAGGGAAAGGAAAAACAATTACAAAATAGAAGGGAAGGACAAGAAGCCATTTCTGCGTCCAAGCTCTGCAGCATGGGAGATACTGAGAGTCTCAGCAGTAAATGTATCCCCCATTCCACCCAGTGGAACCATCACCTCAGTCAGACCAGCTTCCTGATGTTATAAGTGGACTACATCACAATATTGTGGTCCCAACACTTTTATTCTGCTCTTTATTGATTTTTATATGACCTGTGTGTACATGAGTAGATTATTTTTTAACTTATTGAGCCTAGCCAAAACTATGCTGCTTGCAATGTCTAATCATGCTGCAGTAGTAATATAGTTGGTTTAGAGTAAGAAAGTTCAAACTAATAGGAAATAGTATTTTGCTTCTATATACTTCTATGCAGATAGTCTTCGATTTGCAACAGTTCGTTTAGTGACTGTTACAATGGCACTGAAAAAAGTAATTTATGACCATTTTTCACATTTACAACCACATGGTCGTGTAATCAAAATTCAGACTCTTGGCAATTGTCTCATATTTATGAGGATTGTGGTGTCCCGGGGTCATGTCATCACCTTTTGTAACCTGTGGCAAGAAAGATTGTGAAAGGGGGCAAAACTCACTTAACAAATGTCTCACTTAGCAACAAAAATTTTGGTCTCAATTGTGATCGTGAATTGAGGAATACCTGTATATAGGAGGCAAGTTTTTGCCTGCTAAAGATGGAATGCAATAGATTTGGATAATAAGGCAACCAGAAAGAGAAGGCCTTGGAACCCCGCTTCCTACACCATTCTGAAGGACTAATCAGCCAACATTTTTATCAGCATTACTGATCACTTTTATTAGTTTTGATGCTTGCAGACTATCCTATTGCTTCCCATAGTGGCTGCTTCATAGTACACCAGGCACTTTGTTCACTTGGATGGTAGTTGGTATGTTCAATAGCAACTTTACCGCAAACTAGGTTAGGCAATGGTATATTTTTAGTGTTTGAATTTGAAAAGACAACATTGCTAGGAGAAACCTTACACACTTCTACTTTCTGAAAGCTGTGCACAGATCTGTGTGCACGTGCATGCATGCTCATTGAGCCAAGTATTCAGTTAGAACAGATGGTGCTTTTCAACATGGGAACCTTTGGAGCATAGACAAGATCCATGTGCATCTATGATAGCATGTGTATCTCCCATTCTCTGCCTCATCTCTGGATTATTCAGATTTCTGTTTGACAGCTGAGATCCTAACCTACATAACTTTTGAAAAACATGTGCGATAGGATTTATGAGAAGAAAATTGAAGTGGGTGTATTACAACACACTAAATTTGTTTACATTGCAAAGAAAACCACAATCAACTTTAATTAAGTGAGAGGGAGTGTTTTATTGGGCATAAGGAAAATTAATGCCAACTGAGGAGAGGAAAGGGAGAGGACGACTGAGTTCTGCTGAGCTTTGAAAGTTCACTGCATGGGACTTTCAGGAAAGAAATGGAGAACTAAAGATGGCTCCATTAAAAGGAGAGTTGGTTATTATCGTGGAATAAAGGGCTGGCAAGTAGACTGGCTTTTCATATAGGTAGTTCTTGACTTATTACCAGTCACTTAGTGAATATTAAATGTTACAGTGGACACCCCCTTCACCCACAAAAGATATTTACGTGGTGGCTGCCCACCCACCCCCATTTCTGTAGTCCCATTACCGTATTTTGGATATTTGGCAACCGACCCACATTTATGGCCATTCGCCGCATCCTGTAGTCATGTGACTGCAATTTACGATGTTTTTGCCAAAAAGTGCCATTTGCTTTCATTTTCAGTAAAAATGCCCCATAACAAATAATAGGTTTGTAAGCAAACCTATTATTCGTTATGGGGCATTTTTACTGAAAACGTTGGCAAAGAATGGCATTTTGCTTAATGACTGCTGCACAAAAAGGTTGTGAAATTAGTCGGTCACATGGGTAAGTCACAATTTTCATAACTGATGACCGTAATAGCCAGGCTCCATTATAGTCATACTGTTAGTCATACTATGGGAAAATGCTATTGATTTTTTTAAAAAAGACATAAAAGAAGCTTTGAAGGTTGGACAAGAACTTGCAATCCTTCACAAATGTTCCATACAGTTGCTTCTTGTGAGGAGATTGCAAGACATTGGTCTATGGAGGATTTAGAGCTTTCGGAGATGAAGGAATACCCATCTTTTTCCTCAAATCATGTTTGGTGCCTTTGAAAGGACACTGGGTTCACATACTAATCACATTCAGAAATTGCTTGTTAACTACTTTTCAACTATTGGGATTGACAGGTTTTACAGCACTGGGTAAATTTCCATCAATCCTTAGTGAAAGAAACTTTGAAGATAAGTTTAAGGAGTGAGGAAAAAATATTTCAGAATAAACATCAAAGGAGTGATTAGAATTTGGAAAGTTACAAACAGATTGCAGGTCCAAATGGATTTGAAATAATTATAAGAATTCTTCCTGTGGATTGTTTACAATTCTATATAAAAAAAAATAAGATTCTGAAACTAAGTATAAGAAATCTTCCCTATGGGAAAATGCTATTGATTTTTTAAAAAAAGACATAAAAGAAGCTTTGAAGGTTGGAGTGTAAAGAGAATAAAAAAACGAAAATTTATCATTAGAAAAGAAACAGAATGAAGCAAAATACTCTTGAATTTGGAAGAATTCAAGGATATTTGGAAACAGTGTGCTTAGAACTTTTAAGATTGTCTTCTACCATAAAAATGAAATTAAAAATGGCTACAAGAAGAGGAACAGGTTTTACTGTGCAAGACTGAGATTCGAATGCAGATTTTAAAATGCCAGACCAAAAGAATAATCTGCAAAAAGATGTTATATTGGATTTACAAATGAACCAGTCTTAATAATTAATAGGGATATACAAGTAATTAACCAAAGAGTGACCTAGATTCGCTTTTCTATAATGCATTTACAAAAGAGAGTTGTTAATGAGACAAAGAAAAAATGAAAAGAAATCAAGTTCTAATCTAGGACATTTGAAAGATCAAGATTGTTAAAAGTAAGATGGCAGCGCCTGGATCGGCTACGGCTTCATTGGCTCTCGAAGGTGAAGAGTTATGGGAGGGATATTCAGGGATATAGGCCACATGATCAGGAAGGCTTTAATGTGTTTGAGCAATGTGGGGGAACTAAGGTAACACGACTGACAATCTTTGCTGGCATGGCAAGTTTCTAGCTGTTTTGGAACTGTTGGTGAGACCGTTAAAAGTCGTTGGTGCTGTTTGAAATTGTTCTGCCGGCAGCAAGATCTGACTGATGGCCCAGCGACGGATTCTATTGCAAATAAGGGCTGTGTCCAAAGGAGGCAGAGGAGGAGAGGTCCCGGGGCTTATGGAGCGAAGGAACTGGATGAGGCTGTCGGCAGGTCCAGAGGATGGGAGAGAGGCTTTTGGAGGAGTTGGTGGCGGCGGCAGCGTTCTCCAGGGGCGAAAAGGAGTGAGGCCTCTTTAAGGAAAAGGTGGAAGAGACAAGATCAGAAAAAGAAAAGGAGGCAAGGTTATGCAGGAATACAAGCTAATTTGAGGGATAATCCACATGGAGCTCCATTTCCATCTGTCCTGTTTGCCATCGTTTGCTCTCTAGAGACTAAAATGGATGATCTGAAACTTAAGCTGGCCACGAACAAGGAGTGTGTATCGGAGGTGGTGGCCCTTTGAGAGCTGTATGCAACGAAATTTCATTTTACTTTAACTACCCTGACATCAACTGGGAGACAAACTCCGCACCAAGTGGAAGATCAAACAGGTTCCTGGCAAACCTAGCAGACAACTTTGTCTCCCAAAAAGTAGAGAATGGAACTAGGGGATTAGCCATTTTGGATCTAATTCTCACTAACAGAGATGAAATGATAGACGGTGTTGGAGCCATAGGAACCCTGGGAGGAATTGATCATGCAATATTAGAATTCAACATTATAGAAGCACAACCAATAGAACACAGTCAAACTAGAGTCTTGGACTTCAAGAGAGCTAATTTCAATAAACTTAGAGAGGGCTTGGGAAGGATTCCATGGATGAGAATCCTCAAGGGGAAAACAACTCAAGAAGCTTGGGAAATTTTGAAAAATGAGATAATAAAAGCACAGTCTAGCACAATAACAACAAAGAGGAAAAATAACAGCTCTCAAAAGAAACCAGCATGGCTGCATAAAGAACTCTCTGACAAATTGAAAGATAAAAAGGACAAGTATAGAAAGTGGAAAGAGGGGAACATAAATAAGTCAGAATATCAGCAAATAGCCCGAGCCTGCAAAGATGAAGTGAAGAAAGCCAAGGCTCAAAATGAACTGAGGCTTGCGACCAAAGTCAAAAATAACAAAAAAAGCTTCTTTCAACATGTAAAAAACAAGAAAAAAGTGAAGGAAATGAGTGGTCCATTAGTGGGTGGAAGTGGCAAAAAGGTGACAAGCAACAGGGAGAAAGCAGAACTATTTAACTCATTTTTTGCATCTGTCTTTACACAAAGGGAAAAAACAGACCAACCTATCAAAAATAGTGCCATAAAAAACAAAACAGAAACAAAAATTAAGATAGGCAAGAAAATGGTTAGTGAGCACCTGTCCAGCCTAGATGAGTTCAAATCGCCAGGACCAGATGGATTACATCCCAGAGTTCTCAAGGAACTGGCAGATGTGATATCGGAGCCAATGAACTATATTTTTCAAAGATCCTGGAACACAGGGGAACTACCAGAGGACTGGAAAAGAGCTGATGTAGTTCCCATCCTCAAAAAAGGAAAAAAAATGGATCCAGGAAATTACAGACATATCAGCCTGACCTCAATACCTGGGAAGATCCTGGAAAAGATAATCAAACACCGAATCAACGAACACCTAGAGGCAAACAAAGTCATTACTAAAAGCCAACACGGGTTTGTCAAAAATAGATCATGCCAGACAAATCTTATTGCATTCTTTGACCAAGTGACAAAATTAGTGGATCAGAGGAATGCTGTGGACATAATTTACTTGGACTTCAGTAAGGCATTTGATAAAGTAGATCACAACCTACTACTTGACAAGATAGAAAAATGTGGGGTAGACAGAACCATCACCAGATGGATCCGTAGCTGGCTGACCGGCCGTACTCAGCGAGTGATCCTCAATGGAACTGCATCTATATGGAGGGACGTGTGTAGTGGGGTGCCCCAGGGCTCTGTTCTGGGCCCAGTACTCTTCAACATCTTCATCAACGACTTGGATGAAGGGATAGATGGGGAACTCATCAAATTTGCAGACGACACCAAGCTGGCAGGAATAGCCAACACTCCAGAAGACAGGCTTCAGATACAGAAGGATCTGGACAGACTTGAACACTGGGCACTAACTAACAAAATGAAATCCAATGGTGAAAAAAGCAAGGTTCTACATTTAGGCAAGAAAAACCAAATGCACAAGTACAGCATAGGTGGCACCATGCTCAATAGTAGTAACTGTGAGAGGGACCTCGGAGTCCTAGTAGACAATCACCTAAATATGAGCCAGCAGTGTGCTGCAGCTGCCAAAAAGGCCAACACAATGCTAGGCTGCATGAACAGAGGGATAGAATCAAGATCACGTGAAGTATTAATACCACTCTTCAATGCCTTGGTAAGGCCACACTTGGAATACTGCATCCAGTTTTGGTCACCACGATGTAAAAAAGATGTTGAGACTCTAGAAAGAGTACAGAGAAGAGCAACAAAGATGATTAGGGGACTGGAGGCTAAAACATATAAGAAACGGTTGCGAGAATTGGGTATGTCTAGTTTAACGAAGAGAAGGACAAGGGGGGACATGATAGCAGTATTCCAATATCTCAGGGGCTGCCATAAAGAAGAGGGAATTAAGCTATTTTCCAAAGCACCTGAAGGCAGGACAAGAAGCAACGGGTGGAAACTAATCAAGGAGAGAAGAAACCTAGAACTAAGGAGAAACTTCCTGACAGTGAGAACAATTAATCAGTGGAACAGCTTGCCTCCAGAAGCAGTAAATGCTCCAACACTGGAAGTTTTTAAGAAGAGACTGGACAGCCATTTGTCCGAAATGGTGTAGGGTTTCCTGCCCGAGCAGGGGGTTGGACTAGATGACCTCCAAGGTCCCTTCCAACTTTACTACTATTACTAACTTCGCATATTACTATTACTGTATGCCGATTAGTGTACATTCAGAGTGACAATAAAGTTGTTGTTGTTATTATTATTATTAAAAGGAAGGAATAGAAAGTTTTATTTGATCAAGTTTAACATAGATATTTTGTTATTATCTCTGATAACTTAATGGAATTTTGCTGATCAAAACTGAATTACAAGGCTTTAAGGATTTTATAGATAAGATATGGAATATAGGAAGAAGTGATCATTTTTTGTATTTTAAGAGAAGGTGATAAGTTACTAAAATTGTTTAGTAACTTATTGGGATATAAGGAAAGTCATTTCTTTATATATATACTTTTTAGTATGTTTTTTTCTATTTTCTGCAATTTCTATTTTTTATTTTTTAATTAATATTAGTTTATGTTTTAATAGTAATGTTTAATAAAATTACTATAAAACATAAACATTCTGGTTTAAAAAAGAAATAACAAAGCTTGCTAAGTCAAAAAGAGGGAATTATCCCTGGGTGCAGATATATGGTTATAGAAATGGTCAATGGACACTATAAAACACTTCATTATATTTAGTTTTACTCTCAGTATCTACAAAAAACGAATAATACATTTTAGGGTTTAAAGATAGATACTGTTGGATCACTCTTAATGCATCTGATTTATTTAGCAGAAAGGTTTCAGATGGGTGGTTTTTGTGGCTAGATTTGTCAATTCATTTATCTTTTACATACATATTATCTTTGTATTTCTATTTAAGGTGTTAGAAACCAAACTTATTTCAGAATCATCATCAATCTGCCAACCTGAATATGTTGCCAAAATTATTGTTAAGGATGCTGTTGTAAGTAAAATACTGCATTTTTCCTATATAACAAGCAAACATAGGTGGATTATTAGTTGGGGGAAAATAAAACAATTATACTTTTCAAAAAATTGATTTCATGTATAGTAACTTTTCTTTCCAAGTATCAGAATTGAAAATTTTAACACTACAATATTGAGTAGCATCAGAAATGTAGTGTCTTACATTGTTAAAAAAAAAAAAACTCTGTTCCAAAGGGTATCAAAAGCTAAAATGGATATATAAAATTATAAAAAGAGGAAAGAGGTTTGGGCAGTACAATTGGTTATATATATATGTTATTTGTTCTTTCTTCAATGTTTTACAAGATAGTTTAGGTTAATAAGCAGGCTTTGCATTTTTATTTCATTCTGGTTAATTTAAATGGCTTATTCTGATAAATCCACTTTTTTTGGTTATGTATACACAACACCGTTTTAGTTTATAGAAATGTCCCCATTAAGGAAGGTAATATGAAATTGACACTATATTGTTTGAAGTCTTCCTAAAAATAAATCATACATTGATGGAATTGTTTTGATAATCTATTGGTGTTTAGTTTGGTTTTATGATTTCCCACAGCAAGGAAAATTTACTAGTTCTTTTGGTGCTGATGGTCACGTGCTGACAATATTGACTAATGGAATGGCCCCAGTTTCTTCCATTGCTGAAATCCTAGAGTCGGTAAGAAACAAAAATCAAGATAGAAGCATTGTTTTTGGAATTATTGTGATGCTTTGTAATGGTCGAAGTTAATGGGTCTGTGTACTTTAAAATCATGTCATGACCTACAAGGAGGGGATAAATCCAGTATTCATAGGGTTAGGGTTGATCTTTTTCATAGAGTTCCATGAAACTTCCTCTTGGTTTCTCTAATTTGAATCTTACTTCCTTTTCAAGTAATAATTCATAGCTTACAGTAAAAGATAAGGCACTCCATTTATTCTTGACTGAATTAAATTCATTTTTATAAAATATGTACTCATCCATATTTCAGGCTATTTTATTTTTTAGCAACAACATCATTCACTTAAAGTAGAATATTTGATCTGGTAGGCTAAGGCCTCTCCTCTCCACTAAAGAATTGTGCCATCCATCCCAGTGTTCTCCTGCATGAACAAACATTTACAGCACAGGACAGGACAGAACCAAGTAGGAGGTCATTGGTTAAGAATTTTTATCTGTACAAGAAAACAAAGTTAATCGATGAAAGAGTCATGCACGGAGATATAGATATTACTTGGTGTAATCTTCCAGCTCAGCAAGGAAATTGGGGATTAGATTAAGCTCTTAGACTTTCATTTCTCTACATTTGATTTAATTCGTAAGAATTGTGAAATGCCTATTAGGCAAAATATGTTGAATTATATACTTCATTTGCATATAATGAAATATGTTATTTTTTGCATTTTTTAAAAAAAATAAAAACTTACATTAATTAAATGTGATTGTTTCTCTCACAGATTATGTTCCTGGGCATTTTTCGCTTGGTCAGTCTGTATTTTATAGCAGGTTTTGACAGTATTGTTCGCCGTTGCATGATAGAAAAAGAGAAATCTGAAAAGACAGACTGAAGTAGAACAATGCTTTGAACTGAATCCTGATTAGAAAGGTGGACAATTCGTTGTTACATAGGACCATGCTTGTGTGGTCTGAATATGCCTCATAGTGATATATATGCTGAAGTGATGGTGATCTTCAGTAGTGAAAGAAGGAAACAAATGAACAATTCCAGAAAAAGTGCTACTGAAGAAGACTGCTGTTTTTATTTTCTGTTATTTGAAATTATAGATGTTGCCTTAGAAATGAATTTATGAAAGAGCAGAGCTTCAGAGTAGTCTTTTTGCTGGTAATTCTGCACAAATACATCGTTTTAGCAGTTTTGAAGGATTTAGTCAATGGTGAATTTAATCCAGAATTGAAGTAAACAACTTGGTCTCTTCCAGATATTGAGGACTACAATTTTCACAGATGTCTGCCATTGTCCCTGCTATTGCCCTCCCCCTCTTCCTGTCCCCTCCAAGCCTTGGGGAATGTAGGGTTGCCTAACCAAATCTAAAATACAGTTAACGTATTTCTGTGGTGTAGAACAGATCTCAATTGCCTCAGATCTAACCCTTATTTTGTACCTCTCAAAAGTCATGCAGTTGAGTTGTCTTGCCCATACTGACACTTTAAATAAACAAAAGCTCTTTTTTTACAATTTAAATTATAGTTAGTCATGGGAGGAAGACTATATCAAATGGGAGAACTAACCTTTCGTAGGTCGGCTCCATTGGATTTAATATACCGGGTCAAGAATTGGTAGGTTTCCTCCCATGTATTCTTGGGACCTGGTCTAATAAGATATAGTAATTAATCTTTTCTGCTCTTAAGTGCATAGTTTTGTGAAGTATTCATTCTGTTTTATTACGCACTGTACCTGGATGGCAGGATATTATTAATATGTTCCAAAGTTCCCAGTGTGGGAGCAATGAAGAATTTTTTAATTGTTACAAATCTTCGGGAAAAATGAAGGACCCATGACTCACTGAGAAACTGGGATGTGTGTTTTTTTCTGTTTCTGCCTTATGCCTTGACTATAAATAAAGCAGATGTAAAGTGTTGCTACATAATAAACATTGTCTGTAATTTAATTCATGCTTACTCTTTGCCAGCTCAGTAAGAGGCAGAGGTGGGTTTACATTGTATTAAACAAATGGAAATTATTAAGTTGTATGCTTGATACTCTTAAACATTGCACAAGAACATGCTTAGTTTAATCCTATGTGGTAATGTCACTTGCAATATTATTTTAAGGTTTTAAACATAGGATGTCAACATTTAATATTTAAAAAAAAGCTTTTAGTGCAGCGATCCCCAATCTTTCCGGCTCTGCGGACTGATAGTGGTGGTGGTGGTGGAGGGGATGGTTTTGCATGCACAACCTAATCCCATGCATGCGCAAATGGAGCTTTGCATATTTGCATGGCCCGGTTCCCAACGCGCCGCAGACCAGTACCAGTATGTACATCTGGAAATTTATCATCCAGATGCAAGGACTTGGGTATTTAGCCAATTGAGTGTCTAATTTGAAAGGATGGAGTTAGTATAATAATGGTCTTCATAAGCTCTATGCAATATACTCTTAAGGTCTCATAAACTTGAAACTTCAAATTTCACTCCCATAAGTTTCAGATAAACTGTATGCTGGGAGGAAAGCAACTATATTTTTAGAATGTTTTAATTGGAACTGTTAAATTAGAACCTGTTAATCTGATTGCTGTTCTGACCATGTGCCAGAGTTGGTGCAAGTAGCTATAGAAGACCACTGAAGCTGGTAAATAAGGCATTTCATTCAGCATTGAATTCTCAGTTCTGTAAAAGATGTTAGAAATACCACAAACAGTTTGAAGAAGCAAGACTCATTTGCACTTCTCTTCAAGGGCACGATAAACTTGCTAAAACTGATGAGTTTTTGTAAGATCATTTATGGATGGATGAAGCTTCTTCACCGTTGACCTAAAATCAATTACTCTGTTTTTTCAGCCTAAACCAAAAAAAGTTTTTGTTATTTTCAGATTTTCCTCTAACTGGCTTGAACTTTATTTAAAATTATGGCTCATATTTTGTGAAAATTAGAGTTAATAAAGAAGACAATAGGTCATATATAAATGTATACTGTGAAAAATGTTATGCACTTTTAATGTTAATGCTGAATACAGCTAAAATCCATTAGTGCTTAGCTTTTTGCTGTGGCAGAGTTAGAAATTTTAATATTTTGTATTTTATTAAATAAAAAAACTACATTCCTCTGCGCCTTTCTTCGAAACTGGTTCACCTTGTTCTCCTGCTCCTGCTGTGTAAATGTGTTTCTATTAATGGCTGTCATAGTAGTAAGGACTTAGAATATTTTCTTTATTTCTAAAGAGATTTTTAAAATGAGGTTCTGAGAGGAAGGGGAGAGAACAGCTAGAGGGCTCCTTCTCTTCATCTCTGCCATGAAAAAAATACGGGGAAGGAATTTATGGGCATTGTTCCCAGAGCTGAGCAGAACAGAAGAGGTTGAAATGCATTAGATCCCAGCTTAGAACCCCAACTACTATGGGTGGAGAAGTCTTTGGATTGCTGATCAAAAGTAAACTGTTAGGACAGGTCCTGCTGGGAGCAATGCAATGCAATTAATTGACTAATGAGAGCTCTATCCTGGTGTGCTCGTACTTTTCTCATGATCAAACATGTTATGATCACGTGTCTTACCTTTTTTTTTTTTTTTTTAGAAAGTATTGAAACATTCCTCTGCATAGCAGTTGGGATCAAATCTCTTTAAATCATTTTTCTTGCTGGACATCCACTCTTCCAGTTATTTGATAGCCAGCAATTTAAGGAAGTAGGAAAATATTTTATATAATGGAATTATTTCTGTCCCCAAATTGTGATCCCAGTTAAGGGAAACCGCCTCCTCTCTTATATTTTATAGGGAAAAGAAAACGACACAGTCCTATGAGATGCAACTCATCAAGCCTCATACCATGGCTAGATGCGTTGCCTCTTCTTTAAATGTTTTTTTCTACAGTGATGCTAAGATTTGAATTGTGACTGAATTATAAAGTCATATCAGAAATCTCATGTATAAGATGCACTGGGCATTTTTATACATTCTGTCTTAACATTTCATTACTCATCAAATTAAAAAAAATTTAGAAAATAGGAGATCACATGTATACCACAAATGGACAACATTTGATGCTGTGTTTTGGCAGTTTAAAAACCCAGTATTGAATACAATTATATTTGGACAGCAGAAAATCCGGGAAATTGTTAGATAGCAGTAAAGTGATGGGGAAAGTTCGACTTTGTTGGCTTTTGCAGCTGAGGCAGAATAATAACTCTTGCACTGGCAGACACTTTTTTTGTAAAATGTGTTTCTTTGTTAGAGGGCCCAATACATTATAAGATAATATTGAGGTAGATTTCTGAGTGATTCAGTGTTTTGCCATAATCAATTCCATGGTCCTAATGTGAATTTTAAATGACATATTCCGAGCGCAGAACATATTTAATAGCTTCTAAATGTTTCTAGTAGCCAACTAAGAATCTTCCTATTCTTGTTTTTGAATTTTTTCCCCATACTTCCTTGCAGAATTCTAGTTCAGAAAAAAAATTCAAGGCCCCAAACATATACTGAATGTTTGAAATTGCCCCTCCAATTTTCAATATTATTCATGTTTGGGGACTCAGAAGGCCATTCCAACATTTAACTTTCAATATTTAAATATTGTTTCAGAGGTTGGTTATAGAGCATTGTCTTGCTGAAATATATAATTTTGTCAACATCTTTATTAACTCTGGGACATCAACTTATGAATGTATTTTATTGTTTTATTGTCATATTATTGTTTTAATTTTGTAGGCCGCCCTGAGTCCCTTGGGATTGGGCAGCATATAAATTTTAGAAATAAATAAATAAACTTGAAAGTCAAGAAAAATCTCTGCTGGGACAGATGCATAAAATAGAACACACACACACACATCACCGCAAACTAAAAAGTTAATTGAAAAGTTTAGCTAACATTAAATGTTAGAGATCCATAATCTAGTTTGATTACACAACAATGGGATATATGGAAAAGTTATATCTTTACATTTTCTCCAACCTCATCATCATAAAAAATTGTGCCTTCTGATTCTCCTGCCTTTTAAATAGAGCTTGAAGATCTGGTTTCTTCCTCAGACCCTAGATTAGATAAAGCCTTGTAAAAGCAGAGGAACATGCAAAGCAAGCTTGTCTCCAGTGACTTCTGCCCATCCCACTGGGTATAGTGGGATTTCTGTTATTTTGGGTATGCCTTATCAAAATACCTCTCCTATGAAGCAGCTTCTATCCTGAGATCCAGTTGATTTCAGTCTTCTTGGCAAGGCTTTGAAGGCCAAACTTTCTCAGATGCTGTGGTCACAACATTAATGGAGCCTGGTAGGAGTGTTTTTTTTTTTTCCTTTTATCCTGTCAGGACTCTCATTTTTAAATTGCCTTACAGCTTTGTCATGGTGTCTTTCTTTTGCAAGCTACCCAGAATTGCCTGATTAAGAAGAGATAGCTATGTAAAGTTGCCAGATAAATAAATGAATCTGGTTCCCTGGATTTTACCTTCTTTTATATATTTATTGTATGGTTTTTAACCTGTACATTGCCAAAACTTGCTGTGAGGAGGGAAGGCAGGCTGGTTTTGGAACAAAGTGCTTTTTACATGAAATAAAAATTGAACTATTCAATCCCAAGATACTGTTGGAGAAAAACTGAACATTTGAGTTCATTGCCAACATTACCTATAGGTAAACATGGCTTACTGTTGTGTGGCAACCAGAGGCATAGCACAGGAAGTACTGTACTGAAGGAAGGAGGATAAATATCCACATACCTTTCAGGAATGGAATATCCCAGTCAGGGGAAAAATCAACCTAACCAGTGGGTGTATGGCTAGTTTTTCAATATCATCATTTGCTGCAAATTAGAAATTTGAAAGGAACACATTCTGAAAAATGTCTTTGAAGTGGTTCTACTTCCCCATAAGTACATACAGAGTAGTTTAATTACAATATTAAAAGGATGCCGATAACTTCTTAAAATGCCGTAACTCCTTACGGAATTATAAGCCCAATGTTGGTATATTTCATTGATGTCAAAGGGACTCCCCCCAGGTGCCTAATTACATAGAACTGCAACACAAGTAAGCAGCATGTAATATTTTGTTCATTTTCATGTAATTTTGCATCTTCCTATTCTTACAGTGTTCATTGTATGTGTCAGAATTCCCCCTAGATATTTCTCTTTACAGACATATTTTAAGATATTTTCTGATTGTGAAGAAGGAACCATTTTCAAATCTTTGCAATTGCCACAACCCCCCCCCCACAACACCGTAATATTGCTTTTTTTCCCCTGACTATCTCCAAGAACAAAACTAATTGGCAATAAAGTTAAGAGAAAGGACTTACCCACTCCAATTCCTTCTTTCCTCTTCCCTACTGGTAAGGCTTCAAAGCAATGAAATGTAAAACAAAAAGAGTTCTTATGGAAGCCATTGTTGTGAATCTGGTCTAAGACTTCTGGCTCTCTTTTCAAAAAGCTGAATGTTTAGAGCAATGTTTCTTAATCTTGGGAACTTTGAAATGAGTCAATTTGGCTTTGGAGCCATGTCAGGCTAGCATTATCCCACTGCAGTGAATTTTTGAAATCAGATGATTTGTTGAAAGTTGCCATAACCTAATCTCCTCAAATGCATTTATATTTGAGTTCATTGCCAACACGTGTCCTATGAACAGAGGACAAGAAAATCTTGGAAATAGAGAATTTGTGACTCCGACATATTGAGACCGTCATAAATACATGCTGGTTGCTGAGCACCCAAATTTTTATCACATGACTGTGGGGCTACTATGATCATCGTAAGTATGAGGACTGGTTGTAAGTCACGTTTTCAGTGCCATTGTAACTGTGGACCATCACTAAATAAATGGTTGTAAATCGTGGATGACCTGGTCAAATACAATCAACCTGAAGAAACTGCACATGGCAGTGTGATCAAAAGCTGAACACAAACCTTAGGAAAGTATAATGATTTTGTAATTTAACAGACCAGGTTTTTATTTTAATGTTTTTATAAATTATTGTCTTCAGTGCTGTGAGAATAGGGAAATTTGATTTTAGGATTCAGCAAGTAGCCCTTCAAATTGCTGTGACTGGAAAGATGTTCAGATTGTTTAGTTTCCTCCATTTTTATACACTATTTAAATGCTAATTTTTACATCTTTGATAATATATCAGTAGATCTTAAGTAGTGTGTTTACTCCCCCCAAAATGTAATCACAGCACATTTTCAAAATCAAATTGGAAGGAGGTATAGAGGGGTTTGCAGCAATGTTTTTATGTTTAGTTGTCTTCAATATTTTATTCAGGTCTTAAGTGTTGAAATGGAGACAATCCTTACCAGATTTGCAGGTAATACAAAAATGGCCTGGATGGATGCTATACCCCTAAAAGATAGGATCAAACTCAAATGACAGAATTGTGAGAAGAATCCAAAGTCTATTGAGACAAAAATAAATTTAAACTTCTTTCCAAAACAATAAACTAGAGAGTAACGGAAAGATAAAGCTGAATGATAGAATAAACACTTCTCATCTAGGCACATGCAGTAGATAACAGAAACTCTGTTCTTCAAAATAAAGGTTGATTGATCAGGATGCCTTCTGA